TAATGGCTACTTTTCTATGAAACAGAATCAGAAACAAATAATTCATACTCAGCTASAAATCTTCCCTGTATTACCTACTTCMCAATRTTCTGYCCTAAGTCTTCTTTTTCTATAAACACACCCTGAATAACCTCATTGTTCTACTTATTTTCTTTGTRCAGAAAGTCTTTGTGTCTTCAACCTAAAACACTGTTGAACTCAAAATTTCTATCTTCCAGTCTATAGAACATTTCCATTTGGCATTTCTATCTCATTATGTCCAAAAATCATTACCTCTCTTCTGCCTTTAAAACTGTGTGCGTTTTTCTCCTCATGCATTCTTTACATCAATGAATAACATCTTTATCCATTTTTTCCAAGTAGCAAACTGATGGTCATCCTTGACTCCCCTCTTAATTGCAAATTCAGTTTCTATGTACTGTAAATACTGCATCTTAAATACCTCTGCACCCATTCACTTTTTTATTCCATTGTCACTGTGTCAGCTAATACCTGCACTATGGAGCTTCCACAACTGCCTATGCTTCTCAATCTTACCTAACTTCCACTCCATTGAGTACACATTGAASCAATATTTCTACCAAAAATTCTTCCCTGGTGAGAGCATGATCACCTACACAAAACACACAAGCACATATACACACACACAAACACACAAAAYACATACTCAAAATCCTGATAATTTCCTACCTTGAACTACAGAGGATTTAACTTAGAAAGTTACAAATAGTACCCATCTTCTGAAAAAGACTATAAATAGACTACTTTCTTGATCMCTGTGTCCTTAGTGATGATCTGGGAGTCAGGCACATAGTCAGACCATTATTACATAATATCCATAGTTCAGTTGAATGAAGAAATAAAACCTACARTAGGGAGACCTGCGGTATAAACAGTATAAATTTCTAGGTTCTGTACCAGAATGCTCAATGGCCAACTATAGTCTTAGAAATGAGGAAGAGTTTAACAGGAAGTTGTCTTRATTTTATTCTTGTAATGAAAAGTGAAAGCATAGTTTTAAAAGTAAATTTTATGCATTTATACNACCTCAGGGACTCTCATGCACACTCATTGTAGGCAATCACTCTACTACTATTCTGGTAATAACTAGATTTGGAATGGGTCCACTCCCATTCATTTATTGTCTATTACATATTTCAGACAATAGAAACTGAAATGCATTTAATCCCAATTTCCACCTCCTCTTCTTCTTTCCCTCCTCCTTCACCTCCTCTTCTTACTTCTGGTGGTCCCCTCCACTTCCTCTTTTTCTACCCTCCTCCTCCATCTCCTTCACATCTTCCTTTTCCTGGTGGTCTTGCTCCACCTCCTCTTCTTTATCTCATCTTCCTCCACTTCCCTCATGTTCTCCTATTCCTGGTGGACTTCCTCCAACTCCTTTTCTTCTTCCTCTACCCCTCCACCAACTTTTCATCTTCCTCCTACTCATGGTGGTCAACCTCTACTTCCTCCTCTTCTACCCTCCTCCTCCACCTCCTTCACATCGTCCTCCTCTTCTTGGTAGTCATCCTCCACCTTGTCTTCTTCATCCCCACCTCCTTAAACTCCTCATATCATTCTCCTTCAGTAGGTCTTCCTCCACCTTGACTTCTTCTTCCCCTCTTCCTCCACCTCCTACACATCCTCTTCCTCCTCTTCTTCCCCTACTTTACTTCCTCCTCAACCTCGTGATGATCTTCCTCCACCTCATATTCTACTTCCCCTCCTCCTCCACCTCTTTCTCATCCTTCTCCTCTTCTTCTTCCCCTCCTCCAACTCCTTTACTTCCTTTTTTACCTCTGGTTGGTTTCCTCTACCTCCTCTTCTTCTACCTTTTCCACCTCCTTCACATCCTCCTCCTCCTTCTATGGTTATCTTTCTCCACCTCATCTCATATTTCCATTCCTACTACACCTATTTCACTTCTTCCTCCACCTCTTTACATCGACCACCTTCTCCTCTTCCTCCATCTTCTTTATTCTTCCCCTCCTCTTCTACCTCCTTTACTTCTTCCTCCTCTTCCTCAGGACTTGGTGGCCTCTTTGGACTCCTGGTATATAGGCATGATATGTCTATGCTCTTGGCACAGTGCCGGGAGTCCATACACCCCAGTGGAGGAAGCACTGCTGCAGCCCACTGATACTACCCAGACCTCACATGTACGTACCTATGGACACATTTTGCTGAATCCTGTTGCCACTTCATGGTCTTTTGCTTGATGTGCTGCTATAGGGTCATGTGGCCACAAAACCAAGTAATTGCCAGCAAAGCTTGCTATCCTGCAGCCTTGGCCATTGCTTAGGCCCATGGATCATATATGGCCACCACATGCTCCAACCACTTGCCTCTAGAGAGACGTCCACAATGAAGCTGGCAACTGCTTTCCTTAGCCTGTCCCATCCAGTCCTCCCTGGTGGTATGAGCACTAGGTTTACCCAAGTGTCCTACTGCCTTAAAGGGCCAGTAGCGATGAAGCACACAGTCTGCCACAGCCTTCTGCCACAGCAAAGRCCTCGATGGAGCTATGAGCACACACCCTGCCGAAGCCAACGTCCATTCCAGAGGCCAGATTATATATGGCCTGACACGAGCTGCTGCGGCTCAGCCACCTCACAGACCACACTTGCCCTGTCCGGACATCATCTGCACAAGCATCAGGCCACCTCACAGTGCCAGTCATCATGTGGACACTCGGTTTCAGTGAACGGCCAACTCCATGACCTTGGGGTGCCATGTGCATCTGCCCTGAGGCTGGCTCCAGCTACCTCATGGACAGGATTGCACAGGGTCTCAGTCCACTGCAGACAGCGCATGAAGTGTGTGATCAGGATGGCCCTAGCTTCCTTCTAGTTCATATACACACATGTGGTGTGGACACAGGCTTGTGCAGCCTTGGCTACTCCACTCACCTCAGGAAAGATGACCAGGCATGATCAGCTGGAGTCTCCTGACACTCCACTCACTTCTCTAGGACATGTTGGGGTGATATACTGTCATACCCCAAACCCCATTGCACTTACCTCAAAAAAATCTGCTTGGAGAGGCTCACTGAGACCTGTGGCCATTCTTCAGTTACAGTGGTAGACACAATCTCTGTCATATGTGGCCACCCCTGGGACCTCCTGTTAAGGTGTGGGAATGTGACAGATGTCCATTCTGCCATTAGAGACCACTGTTTTCCTTGTAGGAACTTTGTTCCACCCCGTCCTGTAATCCAAAGCCTTGACACAGGCCCAGAGATGATGAGCTGTGGCAGCCCAGTGCCACCTGTGTATCCTCCATGGAGGGGTGTGGAGACATTCTGCTCCAGAGAGGACCATTCCATGCACTCAGTGCTGAAGTGCAGAGAAGCCATGAGGCCACTGCTGGCCTCCTCACATTCCTTAGTAATTGCTGAAGCCTCTGATTATTCTGGTATGCCACGGTTGATACTACTTGCCCTTCTGCCTCTTGARGGCACTTTATTCTGGTATGCCACGGGTGATACTACCTGCCCTTCTGCCTCTTGAGGGCACTTGTAGCTTTTGGACGTGCTCTGCTGTAGCCTCCAGTCACTGCCGCCTGCACTCATGCTGTGCTCTTCCTCGCAGAGCTCATCACTGATGTGTGCACACTGTGCTGAAGCTGTACCACCTGCAAGTCTCAGTGGTGAGATGCGGACACACTAGCGGTGGTTTCATCGCTGCTTAGGATTGAGTGCTGATGTGTGATATATGGACAGCTTGGCCTCACGTTTTTTAAAAACTTTTATTAAACTTTTAATGTAGTTCAATCAGCTTGTCTGGTTCATTTCAGTTCCTTCACTACCAAGCCTGTGGGCAGGGCTGCTTCAGCTTCTCTGCCTTCTCCTCGTCTGAAATGACCAAGATAAAAAGGTACTTTCTGCTTCAACCTTCAAATTTCACATTATCCTCATTTTTCTGGTCTTGGCAGATTTGGCATCCTTTCGCCTGGCTGTGAGCAGAAAGTGTTTGATTTCCTCCATTTTTTGAGGCCTGGCGTCATGCTGTGCACAAGGCATGGACTGGCACTTGTCCCTGAGAACAGCCAGAGGTACCACACCGTTGCCACACCAGAGTCCTTAGTGGAGATGTGTGACGACATCTTGCCTCAGCATCCTGCTGTGACACTGATCTCAGTCATGCTGCTTGCTGCAGCGTGGTGCCCCTCCACAGACCTGACATGATGTGGACATTCTCCTGTCCTTCATACCTCATTCAGGACATGTGTACACAATGCTGTGGCCTCTGGACACTCCTCAGACCTCCGCCTTGGTGGGAGGACATGAGCTGCTGTAAACTCCCACCACTCCACTCACCTCAGTTGTGTGATGTGGACCTACTCACAGACCCAGGAAACCGTAGACAACTCTGCTTCTCCTTCCTGCCACACCATAGACCTCGGATGAGATATGGGGACTGGAGCCCCTTCTACCTCTTGGATCCCACCAGTGATGTGTGGATATGTTCTGCCTCAGACACCAGCCCTTCCAGACACACATTTGTTTGACAAACTCTGCTGTGGCTTCCTGTTACCACCCTGACTTCCATTATGATGTGAATAAACACCCAGCTACAATCTCCCAAAGCTGTCCCTAAACAATCAGTATAACAAGTATTCACCTTGCATTTATATCATATTAGGCATTACAAGTAATCTAGATATCATTAAGACTGTATGTGAGGATGTTTGCAGGCTTTATACATACACTACTCCATTTTATTTAAGGTCTTGGGCATTGGCAAATTTTTATATCTGAGTGGTGTCCTGGGACCAGTCCTCATGGATATCAACAGACAATTTTTTTCTTTTTTCTTTTGTGCTGGGAATTTAACCCATGGGCACCAAGATGCTGAGGCAGGCCTCAAACTTGTGACCCTCTTGTCTCAGCCTACCAAGTCACTGGGATTAAAGGCATGTAACACCATACCCAACATAAATGTATCTTTATGTATTTATTATAAACCAAGAATAAAACCAGTCTAGTTGAGAACAAAGAAATAACAGTTACATGGGGCTAGTTAGAATTCTAGAAAAACACAATCTTATAAATGCGCTCTGGGATTTATAAAATGTCTAGTGTATTTATAGCTTTAAACCACAAAGCATAGGGTAACAATTATGTTTCTTGCTGATCAGGAATTATAACTGGTTCTAGGAAAATTTAAGCTATCTTATAAGAAAGGAACTGGGTGTGGTCTCAGTCTAAATAGTTGGGAAAGGGGTCTTTTGTATCAAAGGACAGCAGAGGTTAACAATGTTTTAGGATACTGCAGTTTGGCCCAGTCCCGAGGCCAGCTTGCATCTGGGAGTGGACATTTCTGCATCCCATTCCTAAGGTCAGCTGCATGTAGATGTGCACTAAGCCAATGTCACTTCAATGCCACTCCAACTTTTATTTTCTTCTTTGATATTTCTCCCTTTTGGTCAAAATCTTTCCACAAGAAAGCATTCCCGGTCCATGTAGTATTATAATCATCCACATCAGTAGGATAGATCTGTCCCAGGAAGTCACATCTGTCACTGCAGGTATACTTGGCAGCTGTGGTGATGGAGCAAGTTTTGGGTCTTTGGCCACATCTAAACAACAAGGAAGCAACTGAAAAACCACAGCCTCAGTCAGGTCAGGTAGTCTCTGAGGTCAACAGGGAGTCCAAAGGGCTATGGCCTGATAAGTGGTTTTTTTGGTATTGAGCTATCATTATTTTGGTTTTAGCAATATTCCTGAGATACTGAGATATACAAACTACAAGAAAGTTAAACAAGATATAAACAGAACAGGCAGTGATAACTAGCAAAAGAATATTTCAAATATTGTCCATTCCTGAAGGTGGCCAACTAAGTGTTGAATTCCAGTCTAGGGGCATGAGGTAAAATGGTACTCCATAAGAGGGTCTGGTTGAGGGTTTGAATCCAGGCTGGAGTGGGGGCACTGTAGAGACAAACAGAAGCAAGTCATAGCTTTTAGCAAAAGCTCCAGCAGGGAATTGTTGATAGATCCAATATAGATGCCCAGCAAAAGTCATAGATGGCAACATTTGGACTAGAATGTTCTTTTTTCAAAGAGGGATATTCGGTAAGAGTTGAAATTGGGTCTATGAGAGAATGAGAAAGTGAGACTAAAAGGACTCACTTTTTAGAGCATTAAGGGAAGTAGGGATCAATCTGAGGCCAGATTTCTTAAAATGAATCTTCTAAGGAGGAGCCAATGTTACACGGGTGCAAAGTATCTAGGGAGTTTGGTATTCTTAACACGGTGTGAATGAACAGCAAGGTTAGAGAGGATTTGCCAAAGATTCTGCATAGGTTTGAAGACAGAGAGAAAGGCATCAATATCAGTTCAGACTCAGTAAAATCAGGGCCCATTTAAATGAATATCTTTCCCAAGGATTTTAGAGGATGAAGGAAGTAGCCTCTGTGTTTCCTAAGTCAAAAGTTCTGCCAGATTTTGTTTTCAGGAGTTTGAGACAATAGTTTTAGGTTGAAACAAAATCAATGAAACCAGTGACTTTCCTTAGTTTGTTGGTCTCACATCTATTCTTCCCCATTTTGTCTAGTGGTTTCACAAACCCATCAGTTTCTTCATTATAGACTTGTAGAACTTCTTACCCTGTCCAAATTATTGGAATCCTATACCTACAAGACTTATTTCCATCTTTTTCTTGAAGAAAAGACACAACACTTTGGGATCTTAGTTGCTTGCAAACAACTTCCAGAAAGGCATCAGAATAAAGCCACTTAACTATGGATGCGACTTAAAATAGCCATGGTTAAAGATCTGAGGATTACTCACAACTGATGGGGTAATTTGGTCATTCCTGGAGCATATAATAATTTAACATTAGAATTAGGACTGATTACATACACTAAAAAATACCAGATTTCTAAGAACACATATTAGCACATTAACAGAAATATAAGTCTAATGTGTGAGTTGGACTTCTAGGACATCTGGAATTGCCAAAGTTAGTTCTAGACTGAGAAGACTTAATTTTGGAATTTGATTTTGGGATATTTGTCAAACATTTCAGAGATCTAAAATATTTGGTTAAATAAGAAAAGCCAAGGTGACAAAAATATTTTAAAGAAAAAACTCTGAAAATGTTCTATGAAGTATAGATCAAAGCTCTAAGAAAATTCTGCCTTACAAACATGGAATCAAACTTTAGTTCCACCAGTGCACCTTTGATATCAGCACTTAACCTCCAGAAAAACTTATATATAATGTTGTCAACTTAAACACACATGAAATCTTCCATAATAGAGCATGGTCCTTGCATGGACAAGGTCCTGGGTTTGACCCCCAGCACTGCCAAAAACCAAAATCTGCCACAAGATCCACTCTTTGCCATAATCCTCCATAACTTCCTCAAACTTCTCGTAATTTGTCCGAGCCCTGAATTTTATCCCACAGCTCTTTCTATTTTGAAATAATCAGCCACAGGTTGATTCTTTTCTGCTCAGTATCTTTCCATTCCACGAGGCAGCAATGGGTGGAAATCATGGAGGAAGGTATGTTAGAAGATTTTAGTTCAGAGACACACTGTTAATTTGTGACTTATTTCTTGGAAGGAGTTTTTTTTTTTTTATTTTGTAATTTTTTTCTAAGTCTTATTTAGAAGTTTCTAAGCACAGTTGAAAAATAAGCCTCCTACTCATTCTGTCTGGTTCTAAAACCAACTTTTTCTAAGTATGCACTCAAATAAACTAATTTGGGAATTTTCAAAGTTCCCTATTTTGGCCAATTCAATTTAAAATCTTCCCAGTTTACTTGGGCCTATTTGTCAATATATTTACATGAGAAGGATTCATGTATTATAAATAGAACCAGTTAGAGTTTCAAAAGGGGGCTATTTTTTCCCATGTCACCAGTTGGAATGGTAGCTGTCCCCTTGTGTGTCTCATTGTGGAACTTCATCCAGGTAAACTGACCAGGAGGGTTTCTCCCCAGAAGCATCCTTTGGAGGATGTTTAATTGTGCTAGAAAGTACCTAAATAAAGAAAAATCTGCATTTGACTTAAGAGTGGAGATTTCAGACAAAATCTTAAGGTTTTGTGTTTATATATGTCTCCTTTGCTTAACATGTGGCATCTCAAGATATTATACATCTCATGAAATCCCCCTGTAGGAAAACACTGACTCATACAAGATCAAGAGAATTATTTGAATTTATACAGTGTAAACTGTGGGTAAAAATGCAGAGTCTGGCATTTAAGAGAGGTTGGATATGAACTGTAAATCAAAAAAGGCATGAGATAAAACTTTCACAGGATTATCTTTGAGAACAAGTTTCAAAAATTAAAATACCTAGGTTCTAATGTATTAGAAATTCAGTGGCAAAATGCAGAATTGATCATTTAGTCAGAACTCACTGGGGTGGGCTGACAGGGTAGAGATGTGAAACACATAATGAAATTGTTCAGAGGGCTGACCACCTCAAAGGTCATTGGCAGAGTGGCCTCCAACCCCCGATAGCCCAAAGTGCTACCTTCTAAGAATTAGCAGCTGCTAGAATGCAAAAGTCTTTATAGTGAAAGTAAAAACAAAGTGTCCTCCTAAACTCCATTCTGGTTAAGTGCTTCCATAACAGGAAAAGACAGCTTCAAGTGAACAGTGACTTTAAGCTCACAGACCTGGGAGATGTGTTCAAGGACAAAACTGAAAAGCTTTTTTGAACTTCTATTCAGTAGTTTCCCTGTTTGAGGCAATATGTTAATGTCATTATGAAATATTTTCCTAGGTCAAGTAGGCAAGCAAGTATGAAATGTCTATTATGAGGAAAATGTCATTCAGCATAAGAAGAGATTCAATTATAAAACCAAAAAAATTAAGTAGAAATACCTCATTAGAATTAAAGTAGAAATATCAATATGAACTTGTGATTAAAAAAATAATAAATCCCTTATGGTGCTCTGTACTTAAAKGGCCAAGAAGCAGTGTCCCTCTGGCAGCATGAGTGTGTGAAGTCCCTATGTTGGTCACAAACACCAGTCCTCATAACCAGAGTCCCTGGAAGAAATTTCTCTTCCATGTCATGGGCAGGGGAGGAACAGTGTGGGCCAGAAAGCACAGAAGCTCTAAAAAATTAATGGAATTGTGGGAAAGGCACAGTGGTGCCCACCTGCAATGCCAACAACTCAGGAGGCTGAGACAGGAGAGATCACAAGTTTGAGGCCATGCTTGGTAACATAAAAAGGGCTTGAGATGTAGCTCAGTGAATACCCTTGGCTCCCATCCCTAGTACGACCCACACAAAAAAATTAATAAAATTTTGTCAAAAGGATATCTTTAAATGGGCTCCCAGGAGCCATAGGTATGCCATTTGAGCCCCCCCAAATAATCATAATAATCATGATCCATAGAAACACATTAATCTATAAAAATTCTAGAGTCTATGGCTGGGGTTGTAGCTCAGTGGTAGAGCACTTGCCTAGTGCATGTGAAGCACTGGGTTTGATCCTCAGCACTACATTATAATAAATAAATAAAGATATTGTATCCATCTACAACTAAAAAAAATTCTAGAGTCTATTACCATTCTTAAAACAGAAAAATATTCAAAAGTTATCACAACTAAAATAGCTATGACACTAATTCTTCAGTTTTAAAAATCAAGAGAATTGAGCCTATATACTATTTTCAGTATGGGCTGTGTTTGTAAGGGAATGGGTTTAGTTAATGTGCATATAGTTAAATTCTTCTTTATAGAAGTATACCTAATAACAATAGAAAACTATCATTAAACCATCCCCAATGAAATTACCTGTTTATGTGGGAATTTTCAATCACGGATGAAACATTGTCACATGTGACTAGATAGATACCCCTTTCAGAGGAGCTGAAAGAATGAGCTGTGGTTCCTCAAGAAGTGAACACTGAGGTTGTGTGCCTGCAGGCTAATGAATGTTTACAGGAAGGCAAATTTTTTTGACCTGCAGCTAGCTTTCATAATAAAGTGGTCAGGAAGTAACTGATCCTTTGTGATTTCTATCACATCCAATAAAAACAAAAACAAGCCCAGGAATCCTGTGTGACCAAACTGGCTTGAATTAGTTTCTCCACAGCTACCTGGAGTAAGATAGGGTAAGATGGTGGGAAGAGCAATATTCTAACCTCAATGGCTCCTTCTGTAGTCTCCACTCAGTCCCAGGTCATTAACCTGCCAGGCAGGCTGTCATCGGAGTTACTGGGTCTTTGCTCATGGCAATGTAGTCTGAATGTTCGATCCTCTTCTAGACCTTAAGACAAGAGATCATTTTGAAGCTATCAAATGTCTTCTTAGCAATCTGATATAATCTGAGTGTTCACAGGTGCTATATCAACTTGTTTTTATTTTCCTCCCTGGGTAAACTCTATAAATAATGTGTAAACTAAATAATCTGTGAAAACAGACGATAAATCCAAACAAAAAGACAAAGTAACTGGACCCAAATTAAGGTTTAGAAGACAGAACTGCATTATTACTACTGGAGCATGGGAAGAAGGGACAGACCTGAGCATGTGATATTAAGCCACCTGCAGAGAGAGAATTACAAAAAGAGGCCATTGACTTCCTGTTTCCTCATACTGGCAAGTCTGTGCTTGCTGCCTGTGGAGTCATACTTCCTAGGCTTTCAGGACTCACGCTGTGTAGACTGAAGATTCCTGGTTGTCCAGGAAGGGCTTTATAATTGTCACCTCTGCCCCAGAGTTTGCTGTAATAGAATTGCCAGTGAAGCTGAGACCAACAAGGCACTGACTACAGCCCTGACAATCGGTATCAACGTCATCTTAAAAGTTAGTTCCAATTCATTAGGATCTTCAAATTCTATTTCATTATTTGAAATGAAAAATGTTTTTAGCTTTTTAGAATTATTTGTGGAGAATATTATATGTGATTATATATATTATATCAAGTTTTTGAAGATGTACTGCTAACATTTTAGCTTTTTTTTTTTTTTTGGTGGTACTGGAGATGGAACTCAGGACCTTATACATGCCAGGCACATTCTACCACTGAAGTATATCCCCAGTCCCACTTTTAATGTAATTGTTTTATATCAGCCCAACTCAGTTTGCACATTTTCACTATGTGGCTTATTATTTTAAAGCCAACCTTCTTGCAGTTATGTGATTATATTGCTGTTTTCCAACACACACCAAATACCATGGCCACAGATGGATATGGTGGCATACACCTGTAATCCCAGCTACTTAGGAGGCTGAGGCTGGAGAATCACAAGTTCAAGGCCAGCCTAGGCAACTCACTGAAACCCTATCACAAATTTTTTTTTTTTTTAAAGCTGGGACTGTAGCTCAGTGTTAGAGCACCCCTAAATTCAATTCTCAGTACTGCAAAATTCTAAAAKTCATAAAGTTGGTGACTGAAGACGCCAAATGTGGTTTCTAGTCCTTAGGACTGAACATTGCCATGCATGCCGCTCTCTTAGAATATAACAGGCATTCACTGAGAGCTGTGGAAATATACATATTTCTAGAAAACATAACTCAAGTAGGATAAAGGAGTGTTAGGAAATTCCCAGAACTAGGAGTCAGTATTGCCCAGGAAGTCTTCTGTCTCCAAGTCTGGGGGGATTAAATAATTGGTCAGACCGTATTTTGATAAAGCTACTACTTATAAACTATTACTCTTGAGTGCTCTTTTTGCTAACAGTAGACACTGGATGTGGTAAACTTAAAGGAACCAAGGATCTGAACAAAATCTTGTCTGGAATTTAGTTCTTCATAACTGACCTCAATGTTGCAGGAAAGTAAGAATTGGGTTCCAACAGAGGAAAATGCACACCTTCCCGTTGCTTCAGCCATTCATCTTGCATTCTTGCTGTTGTTTTTGAAGAACTCAGCTATGTGGAAGGGAAGCATGACAGCTGAGATCTTCCTGTGGCCCTGAGTGAGGTGTCCCATCAGTCTCTACTTGGCTCCTAATGACTGCTCAGCTAGCAGTCTGTGGCTCCCATAGCAACTCCAGAGGCCACGTGAGCATTCACACTCACTGCTTGTATTTAGTCACAAGTCTGTCTCTTCAGACAAAGCTCTGGCTAGCAGAAAGTACTGGGCAGACCTCATCTCCTTATGTTCTTGCTTACCTGAGCTTGTTTTTCTCTCGGGGACTCCTCCGCAGTATCTGTTCCTGGTCCTGGCAGCTCCTGTGCTTAGATGGGCTTACTTCCACTGCCGCCACTTGGTGGGCTGGCAAATCTTCTGATGGAGGTATGGAATATCTTCTTGCTTCTTCCTCAGTTCGAGACTGACAGGATGGGATCTTCGAAAGGAAGACAAAAACTCAAAACCACAAACCCTGAGAGAAGGAGGCCTGAGGTGGTTTCAGTGGTTATGATATAAATAAAGCAGTTGGAGTGGCTAAACCTAATGAAACAACCTATGGATCCTAGTGTTGATTCCTTGAACAAAACTCTACTCCACTTTAGGGAACTGTGGAAGAATGAGCCCAAGGGAGCCTGTTTGGCACTGTACCTAGTTGAGTCCATCCTGCCATGGCCCCAGATCAGTGTGGCAGGCAGGGAGGTGAGGTGACCTGGTCCTGCTAAATACCAGGTGTTTCACAAATTCTGCACCATGACCATGATACTTCCTCTATAAAAGGTCCTACCTGCTTCACACTGTGTGAGGCCCAGAGAAACAGGAACAGTGACGCAGGGGCATATACATTCTGAACAGCTGGGACTGTAGCACTTTCCTAAGAAATTGGCCTTCTGACTCTTCACTTCCTCAGGAAATCCTAATAATTTTCAAGGAATTATAGTTTTCACCTATAATGTCTTTCATATTGTTCTGCAGTTCCCTAGCAAATAAAGCAAGATATTTAGGCATGTTCATATAACAAATATTTAAATCATTTATTGCCATTTAAGTTACAGCATTTCAATGTACATACTGCATGGAAATACACAGATAGTTTTTCAAACACTGAAGATCAGATTTTAGGTATGTGTTAAGTTGTTGGATATCTTGCAGTCATTAAAGTCAAGAAGTCTGAGTATTTAAATGTGAGTATTATAAAATTTTGCTGTTCAGTTTTTCATTAAGCAAATCCCAACAGATAATATGTGTATGAATACAGATAAAACCATCATTGGAAATTATTAAGTTAATTGCATATTTTGAGCTACTCTATGAAGAAAAAATATTCAGTACTTGTAAGGCAGCAGAGAGTTTGTTTAGGGACTCCCAGCTATATCTATAAAAATGGTACAGTTAGTAAAAATAGCATTCCACATTTCCTCCTATTCATGCTGATGGAATCTGTGACTCTGCAGAAGTAGCTGGGGTGCTGTCCTTTCAAGAGCTTGTTCCTTCCACTTCTATGCAGATGCCTTTTTAGTCATCCTGGAAATAATCACAAAGAAAAATTCAATGAGAAAACCCTGCTCCAAGTGACTTTAGAAGACAGCTTTCCATATGCTTATTTTAACTTAAGATTTTACAAAAACTGAAATATCCTATTTTCATGTTAAATAAGTCAGGTTTTTCCACCTAGCATCCCAGCTCCCCACTGCCACTAGCACAAGGTCTTGGTTTCTTTCTCCCCAATTTCTCCAAGCAAAGTAATTCAAATCTGCTTACTCATATCTGATAAGCCGTCCTCCCTGAATGAGCTGGGCTACTTCGTTTGTTGCATGGCATGCAAAGAGAAGCCAGTTTCGAGGCTGCACCTTGTAGGCAAATCTCATGAATGTCAAAGAATAGCAACAGAGGGCTGCAGAAACACCAAAGCAAAAAACATCAATAACTTACCATCTAGATAGCTTAGGGCTGAAGGGACCAGAGACCAATGGGTCCACAGCATTAGCCAAAAAAGGACACTCTTCTGCTAAAACCCATGGCAGATCATAAAAGGTACTATAAAAGGTACTGCCTCTAGTAGAAAGCTCATGAAATATTTCACTGTACTGTGGAGGCATTTTTGTTATCACTTAAACATTTTAGGAACATATATGTTAGCAAGAATAAATGGAAACAAATTCTTGACACATTTCTGCCTCTTAGAACTGTTTATAACCCATCATTTGAGAGAACTACTGTTTATGCTTTTAACAATAGTTTTATATTCAAACATCAGGGTTTCAAGTAAACTTGATGACACTCTTCCAAATCAAGTTTACAACATAAATCTATTGGCTGTGGGGGCTGGGGTTGTGGCTCAGTGGTAGAGTGCTTGCCTTGCATGCATGAGGCACTGGGTTTGATCCTCAGCACCACATAGAAATAAAGATATTGTGTCCACCTAAAAATTAAAAAGAAATATTAAAAAAAATTCTGTTAGTTGACTATCAGCATGATTAAGATGGCATATTTTTCAGCTCGGTATACTAAATCTTAAAGGTGAATGTTAATATTTCTTAAGTATTGAGGCCAAGCCCTTGTCCTGGAGCAGTGGCCTAGGAGGGCTGGAGTGCAGGCAGTGAGCATARGCTGGGGCCGTGTGAGCCTGAAGTGTGGTGAGCAAGGCCAAGGCAAGCCAGGGCACTTTGGTCTGTGGACGTGTTGACATGTCAACATGCTGTGGCCCAGCACAGGCTGGTAACTAAAAAGAAAATTAAGTGGGGACAGACCAGAATGACGACTGCAGAAATGTTTGGGCTCAAGAGTTAACCAATAGTGTTGGTACTTTTCTAAAACCTGTTTAGCAGAAATTTGGACAAATAGCATTGATCCAAGAGCTTTGTAAACCCTTAGACTAGCACACTCAAGAGGCAACCTGCTATAGGGTCCCCTCTCATGCTTTCACTCTTGCCTTCCATTCTCTGTGAACTTCTTTCTTAGGATTTGTGAGACAAAAACCCAGAAGAAATTGGTAGTGAACTGCTTGGGTCTATTGCAATGCTGGAGAGCATAGTCCACAATTAAGAACTCTAACACATCGCTTGATAATAATGGAAAAGAGTACGGCTTTGTCAACTGTGACCCTCAGAACTGACATTGGCAGGCATCCCCTACTTTAATTAGCTGCAACACTTAAAATGGGCTTTCTTAGCTGCTAAAGCCTGCAGTTTATGCAGGCCCCCAACCCAATCCCTAGTAGAAATGAAGAAATCTTGGTTTTAAGTACTTCAAAGTAATTCTATTTCTTCATCATAGAGAAAAAGATGACACTCTTCAATGTCACCATATTCTTTATGTCACGTTCTACTAATGATTGTAACATCTGATGCTACAAATGTGAAATGTGAGCAACAGCTCTGCTATGTGTGAAGTCCTCTGAATCATGACAGTCTGTGTTCTTACCAAATGTCATTCGTCCACTGATGATCTCTGGAGACTTCTTCATGTCATTGATGGCAGCAATGGGGAGACCCCAGTTGGCTACTGGGCCCCAGAAGTGCTACAAAACATGAGAGAAGAAGAGAGGGAAGAGTTAAGGTAGAGCCATGAACAGGTGCAATCTTCCTCAATCTTCACCTTTACATGCTGCAGGTTCACTGGGTTAATTCATGGGTGTTTATCATTGTGTGATTGTTCAAGGGCTTTCATATGAGTAGGCAGTTCTCACAAAGGAGCCCAACTCGAGAAAGAATTAGATTGTTTACTAAGATCCCTACCAATTTTCAGATTCCAACTCAATAATCTCATTGTTCCATTCATTTAAAGAATTTAAAAATGAGACCAACTCTTTACATGGTTCACTCTGGTTATAATTTAAACCTTGCTAGAACTATTCTCCCTAATTGTTTAAATCTATTAAAATTACTTTTTTTCAAGTTTTAATTCAGATATTAACTCTTAAAAACCCTAAAAGGTACTTTTTCTGAAGAAAAAAATTAATAAGGGAAGAAATTGTTTTTTAGCTCATATGAGCTATTCTAAGATCAGAGATCTTCCCCCAGGCCCTAAGAAATTATGACTGGAAAATACTTTTGAAATAGTAGCAAAAACTTAAAGAAACAGACCAACAGTTTTTATTTCATCCTACAATTACTGCCATTSAAGGTTACCAAAATTAAGTTGTCCATGGTTAATAGCAACCATGCCCAATTTAATTTCTGAGGCTAAAATTTTTTTAAAAAGGTCAGTGGCTTTTCTCCATTAAACTGGAACTGTTTTATATAGAATTTAACAATAGTATCTTAAAATCTGAAAGGATCCACACTTTGTTGGTCAAGTGCCCCTTTTAGTTAATTATCAGAACATTAAACAGTGAAAGAGTTCCTTGCTGAATTTTTGCCTATCATACACAAATACAGAGGTGGAATAAATTGAGCATCATTAAAATCCGAAAATTCTCTGAGAAGAAACCAAGAGAAATACAAGAATAATGACAATTACATTTTGTGTGATATAAAAATATTTTGAAGTTTATTTAACATGCTGAAATGTAAATCATGAGGCTCATGCTTAAAAGAATCATGTCAAAGTTCCTATTCAGCCAGGACGGTAAAGATTCAGGGTCTAACGCACAAGTTATCATCTCTAATTGGAATGGTTGGTTACAGAATTTCTGAAATTCTGGAATAGCTAATTAGTCTTCTTATATTCAAACTGGATAATATCTGAATAAGATACTCACTGCTTATGCTTTACTCTCTTGTATTCCACTGAGAGACATTTCCTTTCCCTTCCCCTACCTCTGTGAGAAGTGCTCACTTTTCCCTTACCTACTAACTTCTCTTCTACCTGTCCTTTACTGGGTGTCATTTCATTTTCATTCCATAGTGACTTTCCTTTTCCTCCTTTTTGACTAGGACTTTCTCCACTTGGTCTACTTTCATCACTTTTCCATTCAACCTCTTTTCACCGCCCCCACCTGTATGGCAGTCTTATCTCTGTCATGCACAGACTCCGAGGGCTATGATGGAACCTGAGGAGTCTAGGGCTTATCTCTACCACCAGGTATAAAGGTGCCTTCTTGCACAGTAGTAGCAGACAATAGATGTGAAACTATAAGTAGTCCTGGAGGTCTTCTGGCTAACTGGTCATATTAAAAGTTGAAGCGTGATCAGTGTTAGATTACATGAGACAGTTTGGCATGCCAAGAACTACATATACATTTATGACTGCGTCATAAGCATGAGTTACACTTCAAATATATCCCTTAAAAATAGCATAAAAGGTAAAAATCACTTTAACACTAATTTAGTAAAAATACCTAGCCTTAGAGAGTTTCTACATAGAACAAAACTCCACTTTTCTCTTCCTTTTTTGGAGATACATATTAATACATGCTGCCAGAAATTCATCAATTTCTAGAACAATAAGGAATTTCATGATTAATATTTGAAAAGAGAAAATTAACACATTTTGGACTAAATGGGAAAATAGTTTTACTCCATTATGATTCTTTATTGTGGCTTGTTTCAAACAGAAACACGCAGCACCATGATCTGCCTCTGTTTTGAAATCTAGCCCTGGACACCTTCCTGCTGCAGAAGAACCACCACAAGCTGCTGCTCCTTCCCTCTMTCCTCTTTCCTTCTCCCCTTTTCTCTATTCTTCCCCACCTCCTCCCCACTTCCCTCAGCTGCCAGGTCTGGGGAAACACCACACACACAGCGCACTGTCTAACAGGGTGGCCAGGTGGCCACCTCAAGTGAAGGACACTGTGTCTGTTGTCCGTATCTCTGTTAATGCAGAAAGTCTGCCACAGCCTGGAATGGAGAGAAACGATTTTCTTACCGTACTATTTTGTGAGGAATCATCAAGGTTCAGACAGAAGAGGCATGGAAAAAATAAAAATAAAAAAGATCAGATGGTTACAAAGAGTTGGTTCTGTTAGGTTCAACTCACACATTTTCAAGTTTTAGTAACAGGATTCTAGGGTTAGCAACACACATTTTCTTTCTTTTTTTTTTTTTTTTTGGTCTTCTCTTTGTGATCAGGTAACATTTCTTAACTTTGACCTATGAAATTATATTTACATTTTATGGAAAATAAGCTTAATCTTTAGAGTGGAGCAGCCAAAAATAAACATAAGTCATAAACACAAACCACACATGTAACTTAAAAATTTCTACAAGCCACATTACAAAAAATATAAATAAGCTGGCATGTGGTACATGTCTGTTATCCCAGCAACTCAGGAGGCTGAGGCACAACAATTGCAAGTTCAAAGCCAACCTCAGCAATTTAGAAAAAAAAAAAAAGTTTTTTTAAATATAAAGGCCTGGGGATGTGGCTCAGTGGTTCAATCCCTGATACGAAGGAAAGAAGGAAGGAAGGAAAGAAGGACAGAAATTAGTTTTATTAATTTTAACACATAATTAATAAAGTTATGACTTAGATACTTTACATTTTTTTTTGTACAAATTCTTTGAAATCTAGTGTGCATTTTACAGTCAATACACATCTCAGTTTGGACTAGCCACATTGCAAGTGCTCAGTATTGGCCTGTGGCTCACAACTGTTAATTTTAAAAATGACAAGTTGGAGAGAGGAACACCTCTGCAGAATTCTATTAACAATGAACTTTCAATTTCTACTCACTATTGCATTATCACCACAATGAAAGCCTCAAGGGGGTGTGTATTTTTGTTTCTACTGAACAACCAAAAGTGGTGCCTGGTGTTTAAAGTATTTGTTGAATGAATGAAGAATGAAAATTTTCAATGATGTTTTCATGGATGTTAAACATGGTATCTTTAAAAAATACATTAAAAGTTTTATAGTTGAGCAACTCTGATTTCTAACATGGCAACTTCTCTCTTAAGCCAAATTCTCAGTTTAGCTATTGAAAGAGTTACTGAAAAAAGACAATAAAATCCTCAATACATGCATTCAAGTCCAAAGAGCTCTCCTGGTTGTTTCATTAGAGGTCACAGAGATTCTAATTTAAACATGAAAATAATCGTTGAGGGTGGCAATATACTTCAAGTAGGTTCCATTAGGAAATGCCTAAAGCCACAGAAAGCCTAATAAATTTCACTACCCAAATTACATTTCACAGCAAGTTCAAATTGGGCATGGCACTTTTTGAGAAAGATCAATGATCTTAAGATCGGACAACATAATCTAGGTAGAATAGTCACCTATAGCATTACTCTCCTTAAAATATCTTTTTTAAGGATCTGAACACAGGCCTTTTTAAAAAATTATAAATTAGCAAGGACACTTTTTTTTTCCTTATAAAAATATCTTAAAAGAAGTAGTACTCGAAATGTAAAGTTCTGACTTAGAGATTGCTATATTTGGCTGTGGTTTGGCCCTCACAGGTTTGTGTACTGGGGGCTTGGTCCCCAAATCAGCAGTGCTGAGATGGTGGGATCTTTCAGAGGTAAGGCATTGTCCAAGGTGATGAAGTCACTGTCCTCAGAAGGAATTAGTGTGGGTTYTTGTGGGATGAGTTCTCAAGAAAGTGGGTTATTATAAAGTGAGGTCACCCCACAAGCTTGACCCCTTCTGCATGCTATCAGTTCCATTTCTGTTTCTCAGATGAACATTTGTCAAGCACTATGCTGTCATTAAACAGGTACCAAAGCACAAAGGCTAAGTAATTTACCCAAATTCACAAAGCTAGAAAGCAACAGGGATAGCTTCAAAGTCATCACCTGAGTGTAGCAACACCGTCATCACATTTAACAAAATTGTCAACAATTAGTTAATATTATTTAACACTGAGATCATATTTAAATTTTCCAGTTGATGCAATTCAGTGGAAGAATGCTTTCCTAGTTTGCATGAGACCCTGAGTTGGAGGGGAGGAGGGAAGGGGGAGGGGGAGGGGGAGGAGGGGAGGGGGAGGAAGGGAGGAGGAGGAGGGGAGGAGGGGCTTTAGTTTAGAAGTTCGAAGAGCTTTCCTTTAGGAAACCTAAAGCCCTTCAGTAGGCTGTAAGAACAATACAGATCTGTATTGTTAAACGTGGTAGGGGATACAAGGCATGTGTAAGTTATTCATGAAGTAGGAGGAGGAATAGAACAATGTTTTTGGTGGGAACAAAAAAGTTATAATAAAATTTCCTTCTTTATATGCTTTATTCTCCTTTGCTAAGAGAAAGCAGGGCTATAAGCAAGGAGGGTAGGAGAATAAATAGAAATTACTTTCCTCTGATAGGTTCTAGGAAGAAAGTTTTCTCTATGTAGGGGAGAAAAAAGCTAAAATAAAACTCCTGGTCAGTTTTGAAACTTGCCTTCAACTAGTTTGGCAGCCTGATTGTGAAATCCCACTGTACACAAGAATGGCAGGAAAAACAAGGTCAAAATCATAGAACCTTATACCTCACACTGAAGATTTTAACTTATCCAGACAATAAAACTTTCTGTGCACACACACACAAAATGATATATTTCGAGGTGCTATAGCCTATGCCTGTAATCCTAGCAGCTCCAGAGGCTGAGATAGGGAAATAGTGAGCCAGCCTCAGCTACAGCGAGGTGCTAAGCAACTCAGTGAGACCTTGTCTCTAAATAAAACACAAAATAGGGCTGTGATGTGGCTCAGTGGTTGAGCACCCTTGAGTTCAATCCCTGGTACCAAAAATAGATATATTAAAATGTATAGTAATTTGGAGTTCCCAAGTATTTTCATATATCCCTTAATCAATTAAATTTTCCTGATACCCCAACAACATAGGACATTATCCTGAAGCCCATTTTATGTAACTAAAGTCCATCAGGATCAACTTGCTTGCAATCTCTTCACTAGGAAACCATACTTCTGAATCCTAGTTTAGTGCCCTAGTACTGGTGGCACTTTCCTGGGCACTGCAATTCTTTTCTTTTCCTTATTAGTCAAACTGTAAATTAACTAAAGTAATACTGCAGAACCTATAAATATATTAAAGCTGCATGAGGTTAGTGTTAGAAGAAAATGTTCAGACAATATATCAAAGGATTCTACTGAAAACCCTGGCTTTTCAGTAGAAACTCATCCAATAGAAGAAGATATAATCTGAGAAAAGCTGGGCTGTCTCTCCTACTTGAGAATATATTTAGCACATTCTTCCTATGTAACAGAACTGCTAGATGGTCATCAACATGTTTCTACAGTTAAGGTGTAGTAATTTTATTCTTCATTATACAATACAGTGTTATCCCTTAGCTGTACTCACCAGGAAGGGCGATTATATAAACAGGAGACGTTAATAAAAAGTAAGAATGTAATATTAAAGTAAGAATGTAATATTAAAGGTCATAAAGAAACATAATTGCAAGAACTAAGAACATGTCCTGGGATCACCACTTTGCTCAAAATTTCCGCCATACACTAAGGATAAATTGCCATGCTCCACAGTATTTAAGTTACCATAATCTTATATAAGCATAGAAACTTTTAAGAGTCAGGAGAGAAGCTTCTACTTCCAAGTTTACCACATGGCCGACTGAACCATTTTTCTTACCTACTGCTTTGTAAAAATTTAAGTAAAAATTATTGGTGATAAAGTTCAGGATTTAGAAAACTAATCCTTTTTATTACTAAAATCAGGGTGCCTCTATGCACTACCCTTTAGCTGGTTGTAATAGGACATGTTTCTCCAAAGCTTTCATTAATTTACTTCTTAACCAAACTGCCATTGAAAGGGGAAAAGGAAGAAAATGCCCACATTTTTCTAGGATTCTAAAATCACACGCAGATAAGCTGAGACCAGGCTACTGAGCCCGCAGGGTCTGCGAGGCTGTCACACGCCGGGGCCCAAGCCTGCAGCGGACACCGGCTCCGCACGGCCACCAAGGCGCTGGGCGGCGGGCAGCCGGGACCGCGCCCGCAGAGGACCCGCAGTGCGACCCCGAGGGCGCYCGGCGACCGCCGCCTCCCTGCAGCGCACCTGCGCGCGGGACCCGAGAGGGGCGCCCTGTCGCCGGGCGGGAGGAGCACCCCCGCTGTCCCGGGAAGGACGTCACACGGTCGCCTGAGCGGGAGGGGCGTCCCGGGGTCACCGCCCGGGAAGGGTGTCTCCTGTCACCCGCGCGGGAGGGGCATCCCAGTGTCACCGCCCGGGAAGGGTGTCTTCTCTGTCACCCGTGCGGGAGGGGTGTCCCAGTGTCACCGCCCGGGAAGGGTGTCCCCTCGGTCGCCCCCGTCCCCCGCTCGGGTAAGGCGCCCCAGGTCGCCGTCCGCACCGCGCGAGGGGCAGCCCTGGCCGGCGAAGCGACGAGGTGGGCGGCGTGGGTCCGGGGTCCCGCCGGCCGCGCGCCGCACCTCATAAGGTAGTCCCGGAAGTCCTTGCTGCGGACGTAGTCCGCCGCTTTCCGCACCAGCGCGCCAGCCATGGTCGTACCGGACACCGGGCCCTCGCGCTTCTGCAGTCTCCGCCGCCCTCGCAGCCCAATGTCACTCCCGCCTACCCGCTGCACCCCACAGCTCGCCAGCAACCGCGGGCCCACCTCGCGACACTCCAGCACGCCTTACGGCTGCGCCGCACCGCGGCCAATGGGAGGGCGCAGGGCCAGAGGGGGCGGCGCGGATTGGCTGACGCGAGCAGCACACCTCCTTCCCGCCCCCTGGCGCGAGGCGGGGAGGGCGGCGCAGGGCCTGCCGTCGTAAAGTGGCCAGGCGGCGGGGATTGGCTGGCGTGGCCCAGCTCCCGCCGCCGATAGCCCGCAGGAGAGCTGCTCTCGGAGTGGCGCTAGGCGCGGGGCTGCGGGCTGTGCGCGTGACGGGTTGGCGAGGTTCCTGCGCCACGCCTGTCGCCGAGGGCAGGTGCCTTCCCTACCTCCTCAAGGGCACCTTGGCGGGGCTGCAAGCCCTGCCTGCGCCCTTGAGCCCGGGCGCCCCGGGTCTGGGGTGCGTTGGCTCGGCCTCGCTGGCCAGCCGCTGCTCGTGGGACCATGCTTAGGAGGTGGTCGCCCGGTGGCCCACGGGGGCGCATTTAAAAATAGCATGAAACCTTAGTCCAGAGGAAATGTAGCTGCCCATGGATAGGAGGCTATGTGAGTCCTTCCGGGGTGCACGTTGACAGGAGGACACTTGTCCAGGAACTTGAAAGCACTGGAGCTCAGAGCCATCCCCGCATGTCAGCAGGACTAGGAGGTTAACGGGCCTTAAAGGACTTGTTCCTCCTGGTCAGGCACAGAGAAAAGACTCTGTGGAGTTCCCCTTTTCAGATGAAAGGCTGCACGAGGGAACACTAGTGACTGCCATCCCCACCCTAAAATCTCATTACCGATCTGGGAGAAGACCGAGGAACAAACTACACATGGGCGAACTTCCTTAACTCAAGAGTGTCTGTTCACCGACTCACCGAGTCCTAGAGAATCTTTTCACAAGCTACACTGTTTCAAGGACCCCGTGCTTCCCTCCCCTTAGAAGAGGGGTATAATACCTGTCTGAATAACGTCAGGTGGGTGGGAATCACACTCCCCTGACTTCCCTTTTACAGGTTAGTAAGTTTGTAAACCTTTTCTCTTATTATGATTGCTAGGTTTTTTTCAGTGAACCTTGACAGGGTGGAGAGGAAATTTCCCTTCCTTCTTACAAAAGCAAAACTTTCAGATTATGCATTGAAAAAAAGAAAGAAAATATTGAAGGCTTTTGTTTTTCAATTTTCCAACTGTTTGGTTTTGGTATTTTGGTTTTGATGTAGACAATCTAGCCTTTAAAATGTCTCTGGTGAACAAATACTGTCTAATTTTGCTGGAAGAAATGTAAATAGAATGTTAACCAAACAGTTCTTGAATGTATCAGAATATAAAACAAGCAGTTAGTTGAATGTATTAAAGTTACTGGACATGCCCTATGGCCCAACAAGACTATTTCTCCATCTCTAGAGATGGAGATAGGACAGACAAGCAAGTTTGTGCAATTTCACACATATAGCTTTATTCTTAGTATGGAAGGATTGGGAACAATTAACATCTCCACACATAGGGAGAGCCAAATACAGCATAGTGAATCCATTCAATGGATTACTATACAGTAGTCAAGACAGTAAGGGGTCCTTTATGTGTGCTGTTAAACATCTTTAAGATTTATTTGCAAAGTTCAGAATATTGTGTGAAGTATGCTACTCATTGTGCATTGGAAAAAAAGAAAATATATACATGTGTATTTGCAAAGATGCCAAAAAAATGTCAGCAGTGTCCCTCTAAGGTAGCTGAGGGACAAGGGATGGAGGGAGACTTTCACTCTGTCCATTCTTTTGTTCCTTTTAGAGTTTGTATGATGAGCAGACACTATCTGTGTTAGCTTTTCATTACTATAATAGATAACTAAAGTAAATCAACTTATAAACAAAACAGGCTTATTTTGTAAGTTCTCTGTCGAAGGAACCGCTGAGCTAGAGCCAGTCCAGAACAGGCTTATTTTGGTTTGGACTTTTGGAGACTCTTGTCCATGAATTATTGGCCCCATTGCTTGTGAGGCATTATGTCATGGCAGGAGCATGTGGCAGAGCAAAACCACTCATCTCATGGGAAAGAAACCAAAGACAAGGAAGGAGCTAGGGGCTGAGGTCTCAATAGCCTCCCCCTTTTTTTGTACTAGTGAATGAACCCAGGGCCACTCAACCACTGAGCTACATCCCCAGTCCTACTCTCAGTGAGACAGGGTCTTGTCTCATTGAGTTGCTGAGGCTTGATCCTCCTGCTTCAGCCTCCTGAGTGCTGGGATTACAGGCACGAGTCACCGCACCTGGTTTTCAATAGCCCTTTGAAGGGCACAGTCCCAAAGACCTAAGGCCCAACTAGGCCCCACCCCTTAAGGTGCCACCACCTCCCAACAGTGTCAGACAAGGGACCATGCCTTTGTCATATGGGTTTTGAGGGACTTTTAACTTAGCAGTATCTATTTAAAATATCATTAAAGAAACAGAATAAATGCCTTTGAGAATTAAAATAGCTAGACTTTGATTGAATTGGGTTCATTTTCTGTTAGAATCAGTGAGGTCTGTGGGTCATAGCTGCCTTAATCATCTATGAAAGTGTGTCTTTTAAAAAAATTTTATTGTAGTTGGACACAATACCTTTATTTTATTTATTTTTATGTGGTGCTGAGGATCGAACCTAGCGCCTCCCACATGCTAGGCGAGTGCTCTACCACTGAGCCACAACCCCAGCCCCATGAAAGTGTATCTTGATACACAATATTGCAATTCCATAAGCACCAAGAAGCTCTTCCCATCCCACAGCCCCATGATGGGGTTAGGGATATCCCATGGTGGAGAAGCAAAGACAGAGTGATTGCTGATGTTACCATGCGTAGCTGCCTTTCCTTGACCGGGAGGTGCTCTGCTACTTCTCATGTGGACCCAGAAGATGGCAGGAAACTGAGGGCCACAGATCAGCCCAAGGAGAAGACCTGTGTGAGAGGRGTCCTGGATCTCCTTCCTAGCTGCTCAGTCTTATCCCCTAGTGTTTTTCTCTCCCTCGTGAGCAGGGGTTCTGAAACCTGAGCTGTGGGAAGAATCCTCTGCAGAGTGCTAGATGCCCGCCTCAGCCTCAGGAGGTTGGGCAGCACTGCAGGAGATGCCATGGCTGCTGCCTGGTGGGGCACGTGGAGAAATGCCACTGAGGCCGTTTGCCCCTAGTTTACCGTTGCCACCAATAGGTTAGCTAGCACCAGGAGACTTTGCTTCCTCCCTCTGGGCCTACGCTAGACTGTGGAGCATTCTGATAGTCTCCATCCTTGGAGAGCATGGGCTGGAGTGTTCAAGTAAGGAAACAGAACACTGTGCTACTGAAGGAGCTGACCTGGGATTTGAACCCAGCTATCTTCCACTCTGAAAGCCAGGCTGCCCCTGTATTGCATGCTGCCACAAGAGTTCTTTCATGCTAACATGTATTTGCCTCTCCAAGTTTGAAGCAGGCAGTGTAGTCTAACGTCTAAGACAGCCCAGCAACAGACAGACAAGGCCAATGATTTTGCAAAGGTTCAGAATCATCAACCCCCTGTGGTCCCCTGTGTTTGCACAGTGTGTGGAAAGCACAAGGCAAACATCACCAGCCCCTCTGAATCCCAGTGTGATGAGGGCAAAGGCCCAGATGTGAGCCAGAGTCTTGCTGGTTCATTGCTGTTCAGAAAGCAGTCATAGAATTGGGTGCACCCCAGCTTCCCTGCTGACTGGGTCAAGGACAGGATCTGAGGGCTTTGATTTCTATAGTCAGAGGCTGGAAGGTTACTGGCCTTTCCTTGACAGAGCACCAATCAGGGCTCAGCGTCACACAGGCACTTTGCATGCACTCTGGGACAAGGTGACAGGCTTGTGCTGTGGGAGGGGGTGGGTGCATTTCTCTGGACCCACTGGAAGTCACTTCTGTCACAGAGGATTCTCCATTCTTCCAGAGCCCCAGAGCCTTTGTAATATAATACCTGAAGGTCGAGCCTGATGCCAGCTTTCATCTTTGTGCTCGAGGGAGTAGCTTTCTACTACCTGAAGTGCTTTTATTCCTTTTAGAAATGAAGGAAATGGTTTTCTTAAAAGTCTTTCTATTCCTTTCATAGCTATCTCAGGGAAAAACACCTATTTTATGTGTTCAATTGCCAGGGGGCGACAAATAACTTGTGCACGTTGATACAGCAGGAGTAGGAGCCACAGCAGGAGTAGGAGCCGTTTATTGTAGGACAACAGAGCTATTTATACATTCCACACAGCTTATCTTAATTAGCATAAACTAGATACATCAGTCAAACAATAAGGAAGCTCCACACTTAATGGCTCACTTTTGTTACTTCTCAAACCACTCCCTCTGGCATTTTGCCAGGCACCATCCAGACTTGTTTACAAACTCTAACATTCCCCTGRCAAAATACCAGGTGTTATTTTGACTTGTTTACAGACCTTAACATTCAATCACTGATTAAGATAATTCTTTTCAGAACAGTGTATGTTTAACTAATTTGACCATACAATGAAAACTGGCTTTAAATGTATTTTTTATGTGGTCTTATCAGGGTAATTGACATATCTATTGTCTCAGATATTTATAGTTCTTTTGTGTTGGGAACTGAAACAGTTTTGTCATTAAAAACTATCTTAGTCATGTGCATATGGTAGATTTTTTATGTCCACTATATGACCTATCTATTTTTATAATAGTCCAACTATCTTTGATTAACTTACTTCCATTTTAACATGTTAGATTTTGTTTTGTTTTGTTTTTGGTACCAGGGATTGAACCCAGGGGCATTTACCCACTAAGCCACATCCCCAGCCCTTTTTACATTGTATTTGAGACAGGGCCTTGCTAAGTTGCTGAGGCTGATTTTGAATTCCCAATGCTCCTGCCTTCCCAATGCGTGCCACGGAGCCTGCTCAATGTGTGTCTTGGTTGGCTTTCCAGGTAGGCCTGTACCTTCGGTCAGGGTGATTACCTTTAAGCTCATGTACTTCCCTTCTTTCTCCCCTTGATCTGAAGGTTCCTGGCAGCATCACGTCAGAAGAAAAGCTCCCAC